GTTTTGACACCACCATACAGTGTCTTCACCATCGGTCTGACACGACCACACAGTGTCTGCTACATCGGTCCGACATGACCCCGTAAACTGTCTTCTACATCGGTCTGACACGACCGTAAACTGTCCTGCTACATCGGTCCGACATGACCCCGTAAACTGTCATTCTACACCGGTTCGACATGACCCCATAAACTGTCTTCTACATCGGTCTGACACGACCACACAGTGTCTGCTACATCGGTCCGACATGACCTCGTAAACTGTTCTGCTACATCGGTCCGACATGACCTCGTAAACTGTCCTGCTACAACGGTCCGACATGACCCCGTAAACTGTCTGCTACAACGGTCCGACACGACCATACAGTGTCTCCTATCCCATTTTTAATTTTATTTGTCAGCTTATTTTTCTGTTTTGTTACTCTCTCCAAACTCAAGTTGGCTAGTACCTATCCTCCTTGAGTTTGAGGGAGGCTGTTAATGTAAATGTAAATTACTACTACACCTACCACCAAACCTACCTCCACCTACTACTCCTATCACCTACTACACTCCACCAAACCTACCTCCACCACTCACTCCTCACCTACTCCAGAATCATCTCCTATATAATAGGAATTCTTGTACAAAATATATACACAACAATCTTATAATACATAAATCAATAATACATCATTATTTTAACAATATATATCATCTACCAAGGATTTAGAGAATAAATCAGCAGCAACATTTGATCTCAAACTATTAATCAATGCTTGGCAATCTGTTTGAACTAAAGTTGCCTTGAGATTTTGGGAACAACACCATTGTAGTATGTCCATACCCATGGGCTTCGGCTTCATGAATGTGCTTGGAATGAAAAGGCCCTAGATGCCACCTTCCATCCATTTCTATTAACCGCCACCCACGCCACCGTTGCTTGTTCTGTCTCTTTAGACCATGCACCATCAACCAAAAACACAGCAAAAACAGGATCTACACACCAAGAGTCGGTATTAGACGTAACAAAATAATTCATATCACCTCCACATTCCTTATTAGCTTCAGTTTTGAAGTGCATCTCAAAGAGGTTTTCTGATCTCAAATCGTTAATCATGTGAATGGTGGAAATTGGCTCAAAAATGAGATTATCAAATGCTGCATGATTCCGATGAACCCATATTCCCCAAAGGACTTTAATGGCTTCAACAATAGCACTCTCGATCCAATCCGCCACTCTTAATTCCCAACCAATATCAAAATTAAGTCCCGACTTCGAACCAAACCAAATTCTTTTAGAAAATGAACATTGAAAGCACAAATGTTCTTTCATCATGGTTTTTACACCTTGGGCAAACAGAATCTACCTTAACACCTCTTTTCTGAATGGCAACTCTAACGGGCACAATATGATGACTTAATTTCCACAAAAACGTTATCCATTTTGCAGGAATTTTTAGACTCCACAGGTTTTTCCAATGTATATCTACCCTTGCCCGTCCTCCCTCGAATGACCTATCCATACATTGACTACCAACAGCATACCCAGATTTTACACTATACACCCCATTCTTACATTTGTCCCAAATAATCTTATCATGGACTTGAGTCTGAGGAATATAAATATTAAGGATCTTTTGTGCCATAGCTGAAGGGCAAAGGGTTCTAAGGGTTCCCTCCATTCTTTTCTCTCATGGTCAATCAAGTTCGCAACCCTGAATTCCCGAATGTTGTGTTTAGTTGAGGGATTTGGAGAGAGATTTGAAAATGAAAAGGGAAATGGTATGTGAAACTAGGTGAAATGTAGGTATATTTTATTTTTATTTCACTTACATTTTCTATTTCCTTTTTCAAATCCATTCCTAAATCCTCCAACCAAACACAGCGGAAATCTTTCCCCCACTTACGCTGTGTTTGGTTGGGGGATTTGGGAAGGGAAATGGAAAGCGAAATGGAAATGAAAGGAAAAGGAGAAAAAATTAATAGAATTCCAAATCCCAACTATGTTTGGTTGTGTTGGTTATAAAATAGAATTGATGTCCTAAAAGGTCTCCTATTTCTTTATTTATTTCTCACCCCCTTTCTTTTCCTATGTATTTTTTATTATAACCAAACATAAATAGGATTACATTTCTCATTCCTTTTCCAAATCACACCCCAAAAACCTCAACCAAACACAGCATTAGCGCCCTCCCAATTCATTACCCATCCCTAGTATCCACCAATATTAAAAGGGATCAATTTTCTCCAACAACCCACCGGATACCCAGTTTTAACAAATCTCTTCCCCACAAAATATTCCTCCAACCCCATGAACATATCCACTCTTGGCCTTAACATGTAAAAATTGCTCAGCGGTGCAATATTTTGCCTTCAAAACCTGGCTCAACAAATTATTCGGTTGGGTTAGAATCCTCCAAGCCGATTTAGGTAGAAGTGTTTGATTCAACAACTTTGGATCCCTTAAACCCAATCCTCCATCCAATTTAGGTCTGCATAAAAGATCCCACCTCTTCCAAAAAAATCCAGATCCATCTTTTCCTTTCCATATAAAATTCCTCACAACACTTCTTAGCTGCTTCACGAAATACTAAGGGGCTTTGAATACGGCCAGTAAATAAATTGAGTTTGACAGAAGGGTATGATTAGCTAACACACAAGGAAAGTAACCCTCTCTTCCATCCATGTAATTTTTTATGAACCCTCTCAAAAATTGATCCAAACAAATCACCTTTTCTCTTACCTGATTCTATGCACGCACCCAGATAAATTCCCAAATTCGCTGCTAATTTAATATTAAAACAATCCCTAATGACCCTTTTCTCTACTTCTCCCATATTAGGACTGACCATGATTGCCGACTTATCAGTGATGACAAAAAGCCTCAAAGAACCATTTCAAACACCACACTTCCTCAGCTTTATAAGTCATAAATAACAAACCATCATCCGCAAAGAGTAAATGGGATATCACAGGAGCGTTTCTGGATATCGAGATACCCCGAAAATTAGCCAACCCTTTAGATAAAGCTTGCATAACCAATAAAAACAGGTAAGGTGATAATGGATCACTTTGTAGTAACTAAAGCCAAAACATCTCAGAACCATGAGCAAAAAACCCCGACTAACCCTGTCATAAGCCTTATTCATATCAAGTTTCGTTGCAAAAAAAGACTTGCACCCCTTGTTCCTTGCTTTAATAAAATGATTCACCTCATGAGCTAATAAGATATTTTCAGAAATGATTCTACCTGGAGCGAACGCATTTTTTTGGGGAAATTATACTAGACAAAACCCTTCTTAATCGATTCGCAAGAACCTTGGCAATAATTTTATATACCACATTACACAAACTAATAGGCCAATAATCATTAACCGAATGAGGCACTTCCTTCTTGGGAATCAACACCGAAAAAGTTGGGTTCATTTCTTTAAGCATCACTCCCATATTCAAAAAAAGCTTTAACAGTATTAATCACACTATCACCTACAATTTTCCAGTTCTTGTGATAAAAAGTTGCGATCATACCATCGGGTCTAGGATCTTTGAGCCCATCCATGGTAAAAATGGCATCTTTTATTTCTTGATCCATAAAAGGGGCATCAAGCACACTCTGATGATCATCCAAAATATGCTTTTGCAAAGCATTAAAAAATTGAAAATTAATAGGATAGTCGAAGTGCATGGATGGATGTAGATCCATCCTGTTGACAGTGAAACAGCTTCTTAAAATGTTGAAGACATTCAAGCTCAATGCCACCTTGATCCATAACACAATCTCCATTGTCCAGTTTTAGAAATCCAATCATTTTCTTACAAGATCTAAAAGTTGCCATCTGGTGAAAGAACTTTGTATTTTTATCCCCCAAATTCATCCATCTTTTTTACTTATGCAATGTTTTTATAAATACATAAAAGTTCTTAATTCTTACATGTTATGTTCTGCAATTTTGAAGTTACTTCAGGCTGCCAAAACTGACATCTGACCCAAAGGTTTCATTAATACTTATCAAAGTTTGGACCAATAATTGAAGGATCTTCCATCACCATGCCCAAATCACAGAGGTTTACATTCACCAGGCTGCCCATATCTGCCAGCTAAGACCTCATGGATTTTTGTTTTTTAACCATACCCTAGCATTTTGGAATCTTATTTTCCAAACAAACATGCTTTTTAATTTATTTATCAAACTGTGTTTGTTAGGCATAGTCATTGAAGTCGTGTTTTGAAAACAGATTTCATTTGATGTGTGTTAAGATATTATAAAAAAAAAAAAAAAATTTTTTAAAAAATTAAAAAAAAAAAAAAAAAGAAAAAAAAAAAAGAGGAAAGATGAGGACAGTTCATGTGTCTGGTGTGCCTCTGTTTTAATATAATATAAAATATAGCTATCTTTTAGCAGTGAAAAAAAGTTTAAAAAATCCTTTGTATTTTTGGGTGCGCTATTTTCTTGTTTTATCAATAAAATTTCCTTTCTTTTGCTGATTGAAAAAAAAAAACTCTAGATCAATAGATATAATTCACAAGCACAATGCTCTTCTATTTGAAGTCATCAAAAAGTAAACATGACAAGCACAACATCTTCTAGTCTAGCCCAAGCTCAAAATAAACCCTAGTACTAATTAAAATCTCAGCTTCTTATAAGAATAAAATTAATTCTGGGCTAGCCCCATATTACACCATCAAACCATAAATTAACAGCTTAACACCCTAGAGTTTCCTAACTTTCCAAACACAGTAGCACAATCCACCATCAACATTGGAAACCAAAAGGAAAATAGAAAGATCTGATGGCACGAGAGAAAAGAAAAATACACCACCTACAAACTTAGATTCCAAAATGTCACTACCAATGAATGGGAAACTCTTAGTAGAATTTCAGATGGTTGCAACCTTTGGAACATCCACTGGGAACTGGTGAATCTCATCCATCCATGGGTTCTTCTCCTTTGCTGGATCAATAGTCCTCAATGCCTTCCACACAGCACTGTTGCACTTAAACCCAGATCCAAACGCTATCTGCCACATTCTGTCTCCCCTCTTCACCCTCCCTTTGGCTTCTGTATACCCCAATTCATACCAAAGAGAACTGCTCGAAGTGTTTCCAAATCTGTAAAGTGTCATCCTCGAAGGCTCCATATTCCAATCAGAAAGATTCAAGTTTTTCTCTATTTCATCAAGCACAGCTCTTCCTCCAGCATGAATGCAGAAATGCTCAAAAGCCAATTTAAAATCAGGGATGTAAGGCTTTATCTTCATCCTGAAAAGTTTTTTGCAGATCAATGTGAAAAAGAAGAGCAATTGTTCAGACATTGGAAGCACAAGAGGGCCTAAAGTAGTGATGTTAGTCTTCAGAGCATCTCCGGCAACTGCCATCAAATCCTTTGATAGCGAAACTCCAACCTTGCCATTTGGATCCTCCATTTGGAAAACACATGAAAAACATTTATCATCAGAGCCTTTGTGGGTCCGAACAGTGTGAACCAATTGATACTTGGATCGGTGTCGATCAGATCTTTTGTTCGAAAGCAAAATCGCAGCCCCCCCCATTCGGAACAAGCAATTCGAAACAAGCATTGATCTCTCATTTCCAGAGTACCAATTCAAAGTCGTGTTTTCCGTGCTAACTACCAGAGCATACGAATTGGGATGAACTTGAAGAAGATCTTTAGCAAGATCAATTGAGATCAAACCGGCACTGCAACCCATCCCACCAAGATTATAGCTAACAATGTTCCCTCGAAGCTTATAATGGTTCACAATCATTGCAGAAAGAGAGGGTGTTGGATTGAACAAACTACAATTCACAACCAAAATTCCAATATCTTTCGGTTTCACAGAGGTTTTTGCCAAAAGTTCATCGATAGCACCATACATTACAGCTTCAGCTTCTTTTCTTGCTTCTTTCATACACGGATTAGGAGGTACACTAATAACAGATTCGGGGAGACAGGTTGACTCACCAAGACCAGACTTCTCAAGAACTTTCTGTTGGAATTGGAGATTTTCCTCAGTGAATGTCCCTATTGAACGCGAACATTCCATGAAAATCTGCCTCGTGCATCGACGAGCAGCTTCTGGCTTATAGCACGAGAAATTCACGAGATAAACTGGATGAGGACGAGTAAGGAAGTAAAGGGTACACAGAAACACCAGAAGAGTTGAGCATAGGATCACCGAAATGAGATTGAATCGAAGATGGTCCCAAAGAAGATAAAGATCATGGGGTGAGAATGTTGAAAGATGAGCCGCAATTACAACAATTAGAGGAGTTAGAAATAGGTACATTCCATGGGTAATGAGATAATGGTACCCAAGTTTTACATATTTCAATTTGATTGATTGTTTGAAATCAGGAAGCTTTCTCGACGAAGATGATGGTGCCAAGGGCTTTTCTACCTTTAATTCACTCATTTTGGAAGGAATTCAATGAATCGAATTAGATCAAAATTGATAGAATTGAACAGTTCAGTTGGTTCAAGTAATCTAATTCCCTCAGAACAAGATGGGCAGTATTATCAATCGAAAGAACACAAATTTTCTTCTACTTTCCCGGAAAATTGAATATGGAAGGAAAAGGGATATGGGAATCTAAGATCTAAATGGGCATAAGGGCATTGAAATCCTGAACAGAAAAAGGGCTTTCTCAGAAAATTGAGATTTTTTTTATTTATTTCTAGTTCAATCAAATTTAAGAGCACAGAGAATCAGAAGAGCAGCTCAAGGAACAAAAAAATCCCTGCAAAATCACCAAGAAAAAGAACCAAAAAAAAACTAACTTTATCATTTATATAGCAAACACAAACATGATTACAATGTATCTTAGATGAGATCTGATTAATGCGGCTCAAAAAATATAAACAAAATAATCAAAACCCAGTTTTGACAAGAACAATCCAATGCAAAAAGACCCAAATGGAATATGGAAAACACTGACCTTGAGCGTGAAACCTCTCTCACTAGATCGCTTCGTCCTCGCCCAGAAACCAACCTACTATAAAGGCTATATATATACATAGAGAGAGAGAGAGAGAGAGAGAGATGGAATATATATTGGACAAGGTGTGGACCCACTTACTCAAGAACACAGGAAATGAGGACCGTTGAAAATTCAAATCAAACGGTTTGAAATGTGCACGGCCACCTCTGCACACTCACTAATGACAAATATTAGGGTTAATTACACTTACCACTTGTTTGTCATTGGACTATATTAATAATAAAGTTAAGAATAAATTACAAATACATTTTTTTGAGATTTGTTTAAATATGAATTATGTTTAATAATTTTGAAAATTACTTCTCACTTGTTAAGTTTCTAATTTCATAACAAATAATTTATTTTATTAATAAATTATTAAATCAATTAATAATTTTAGTAATTTTGGAAATTTATTTTAATTAATATTTTAGATAATTTTTAGAAATTTTATCTTTTTATTTAATTCTGTTAAATAAAAAAATTTGACAAAGAGATATTTATAATTTTACAAATTACATGGAACAATTCGTATTTTAAAAAAAAATTCAGAAGGTGTATTTATAATTTATCAAGTTAAAAAATTATTATAAATTATCACACTATTTTTTTTACATTTTTGTATCTTTTTTTAATTAAAAAAAAAACGAAGTATCATTAAAATAGATAATTCCCAAATGAGCTCTTAAACTCCCTCAACTTTTAGCATCTTCACCTCTCCTAGAACACTACCTAACCATGCTCTAGCAAGACTTGGAGCAATTTGGAAACATGATAAAAAAAAGGTCAATTTTTTTATTTTATTTTTTGACTTTTACCAAGTTCTCCCAAAAAAGTCACCAAAAAAATCAATTATTTTGTCAAAAAAGTCAAAAAATTAACTTTTTACCAACTTCTCAAAACACCCCCTCTATCAATAATCTCCTCAATATTGATGATTTTTGTCTTAGCAAGTTACAAGATAATGGGAAGTTGAAAAAATATTTACCAAAAGGTAAAAGGTGGAACTTTTGCTATATTTTGTTGCGCAAATAAAAATAAAAATCTTATGTATCTATAATTATTTTTGTTCTTCTAGGCTTATTTATAATTTCCTTTTCGTTTTTCTATTTTGACTATTTTCTAGACATTCTGTATTCAAATTGATTAATTTTTAAGGCAAAGTAGTATTTTTCTTTTCTTGTTATTCTATTTTCTAAAAATGTAAAATGATCAAAAAAATTTGATCTTATCAGTCATTAAAATTTTATAGGTATTTTAAACCTTATTAATTTTTTGAGTAAATTACAAATACACCCCTAAGATTTGATTAAAATATAAATCACCCCCTGTAGTTCTAGAAATTACATTCCACCCATGAGATTTTTAATTTCATAATAAATCGCCCTTTTTATTAATAAATTATCAAGTCAATTAATAATTTTTAATAATGTTATAAATATGTTTCATTTAATAATTTAAGTAATTTTATTGTTGTATAGGAGAGCAATTATGAATTTCTTTTTTTTAGTTAATTCTGTTAAATAAAATTTTTTAACAAGGGGGTGTTTGTAATTTTTCAAATTGCAGGGGATAATATGTACTTTAAGCAAACCTTAGGGGGTATATTTGTAATTTACCTTAATTTTTAAGTCAAATTTAAATAACTCAATTTGATTATAGTATATTTTTTAAAAAATAGATTACGTGAGATCTATTCAAAAATGTAAATAAACTAAACTTTAATATATTTTGGAATTTGTTAAGGTACGGTTTAGAACCGTTTATTATAAGCTAAAAACTGATAATTCAAAAGCAAAAGTCAATAGTACCTCTCATTCAGTTTTTGGATAATCAATTTTTTTTAGCTTATTTAATCTATTTCAACCTAATATGTTATAAGTAGAAATTATATTAAACAATTTGATACAAACTCGAAAAAATTTAAAAAAAAAAAATTGACGCGATAAACTTGCTTGGTAAATTGTTTTTGAATTTTTTTTTTATATCTAGCACTTTTAAGCTATTTACCAAATTTTAAATAATATTAGAATGATAATTATTTTAGAACTTTTCATTGTTTTGTTTTAAAAAACACAAAAAATGAAAGCAAAAATATCGAAAATAAAATCTAGACCAAACATGCCTTGTTGTCTTAATTCTAAACTCTTTTATCAACACCAAAGAAAATATAAATCAATTATTTGAAAATATAGTGATATCTTTTCAAATAGTGAAACAATTTGTTATGATGTGTTTGGTTGAAGTCAGGTAGTTTAGGCATACTTATCCCAAAAAACAAAGGTAGCTTAGGCAAATTTCAATTCAATTTCAAATTCTTTGACTGCTTATACATTTAAAAAAAAAAAAAAAAAAATGAATGAAAGGTATGATTTTAAAAAATGAATGAAAGGTAGCTTAGATTAATTTAATTTTTTATATGAATAGTTTATACATAAAAGTCTATAATATAAATAGATTAGATCATCAAACGATAGACCATAATGAGCTCAAAAAGCTTGAATTGCACAGACAGTGCTACATTCTCACAAATTTCTTCCACAAAAGCATCTCGTCAACAATTTTTTACCGATAAGAATTCACCATTATAGAGTAAGTACAATATCACGCCAAACATAATGCTTTTATAGGAAAAATTTGTAAGAATGTATCATTTTCTGAATTGCACTCCTAGCAACAAAAAAATACAAATCAAAAGAGAGGCCAACTCATACATTACTCCAAATTTTAGATATTTAGGAGTGTGTTTAGAATTATCTAATTAAGTATATTTTTTGACCTTTTATAAAAAGATATAAAAAAAAAAAAATATATGACCAAAAAACAGATAAAAAAATAAAAATAATGTACTAACAAATAATTCCTTTTATATTCTAAAATGATTCAACTGACTTAGAGTGGAGTATTGTAGAAATTAGTTATATAATAGTAATTTGAAATTTGATTTTACTCCAATGACTGTCACTAATAGAGTGCTATAGTTAAAAAAATATATATTTTTACATGATAACAAACCAAAAAATCAAAAATGCTTCGACTTCTAAAGTTGGGGATTCTCATGACTCTCAAAATGATATGGATCAATCATGTATTTTTTTTTTTTTTTCTTTCCTTCTTGGACTAATCACAAGTAAGTGAAGATTGTATTTTTTGAGGGGTGAGGGGTGCCTGCTGTACAGCAGGCACTGCTGTGCCATTTCAACCCATGATTTTTCTTTCTTTCTTTTTTTTAATATAATTTTTCTTTTGTTTTTTTTTTTTTATTAGTGTGTGTTGCATGCACAGCACACCCTGCTGTGCTTAAGCACAGCAGGCACCCCTTATCCTTTTTTGAGGGTTCGTAGCACTGTTGAAAAAAAAAAAGAAAAAAAAAAGAAAAAGAAAGTAGTTTTGACTTTGACTAGTGTTGGTATAATAAACCTTGGTGTAGTCTCACACATAACGCTGAGAAAATTTGAGTTTGAGTACCATTTAGCTTATTTATATTAAGATGTGTTCAATTATTAGTGAATATTATTTTATTTTTCATTTATAAAATTATACATTTTGACCTTTCATTATAAAAAATATATTACTTTTACTCTATTTGTACAATATAATTTTCGTTTGGCATGTGGCTTTTTGAGATTTTTTGGTTAAAATAGTTACAAGAAAACAAAATAAACTAAAAAATCAATAAAACAAAATATCACATCTAAACCATAATCATTTCATTTTTTTTCTTATAAAAATTAAAAAAGTCAAAAAATCTATCATAAACGATGCTTTTTAATCCCAGACTAAAATAGTCAAAAAATCAATCAACATCCGAAACAAAACTATAAAACTTTTACTCCTTACATACTCCCTTTAAATCAGGTGTGTTTGTATGATTTTCTTAATTAAAAGGGTTAATATATACAAATTCATAGATAAATAATATAAAATGATATTTATTAACAATTGAGTGTGCCTTAATATAATTAATCTACAATTTTGTAGGTTCTTTGAATTGGTCACCCTATGGTGTACTTTCATACCATTTTTATGGAGAAATGTCAGCTTGATCTACATGTGGTTCACATGGCCTTTGTCCAATTCGTGAAATTTCTTTGAAATTGATGGGCTTCAAAAAGTTTAGTTTATGTTAATTCCTGAAGTTTCTTTGAAATTGATAGGCTTCAAAAAGTTTAGTTTATGTTAATTCCTGAAATTTCTTTGAAATTAAAGGACTATCTCTAGCAATTGATCCATGCCCCCTTTAGTAAGTTTTTAACATCTTTTAAGTAGGTGTGGAGAAGGAAAAAAAAAAACATTTAGAAGTATGGCCAGGCCATCTCTAGCTTAGTCAAAAAAAAATTCAAATTTAAGTAAAAAATTGAATTAAAGTTCTATTTGATATAAACCATGAGTAATGTTACATTTATTGAATTTGTTGATACCGATCGTCCTGTAGGTCGTCCGAATGATAGGGTGACAACCGCAGTAGACGAGGGTGAAATCGGTCGTCTGACTGGCACAAATTCAAGTGATTCGAGCGACAACAAATGCGGTAGATAAATCATTTCACACAAACCACTTCAATTGAAAAACTCAGATTTAAACATAAGTTTAAGTAAAAACTTCTCTAATAAAAAAATGATAAATTTGAGAATCACAAAATAGATTTAAAAATTTTAAGTAGACACAGTATGCTTAATGAGGTAAAAATCTAGTAAAACTCAATCTAGTATAAATTTGGGTCAAAGAATGGAAGGTGTTTTTGTGATTTTTACCCAAATTGAAATTTATAGAAGCAAAAGGAAATGGAAAAATAAAATAAAATATGATACAATTTTCAACAAAAACTGAGAGGTCAATGTCATTTCTAGCATCTCTAAGAAGGAAACGTACTAGTCAAGGAGAAAACTCATAAGAAAATTCTCAATTGCCTACATAGTAGAATTTGGACTTCAAATTCTCAAATATAATAAAAAAACAAAATTGACTCAAAACACTCCATCTCTTTAAATTTGAAAATAGACAATTTGTCCCCGTGTTCGTTTAAGAACAAACTATTTTAATAATTTTTAACTTTTTAATTAAAATATGAAATAAAAAAAATAATATGTTTGAAATGA